AGATTTTGGTGCCCTCCTCTCCCCCTTCCTTCTTTTCCTTGCATATTCCTCCAGAACCCCACGAAGCCTGGTGATACAAAGACAAGGCGTGGCCTGGGTGTGTGGCTCGATGGTACAGCATGGGCTTAGCATTAGGGCAGCCCTGGGGTCAGACCCTGGGAGGGAGCCACTGAAGGAAGATGTCCTTGCCCCAGGAAGCCAGCTGGGCTGCCCTGCGACACTGCATAGCTCTCCTCTCACCATACTGCCCCCCTGTTACTGTGCCAAGAAGCCCCTCCCCCAACCCCGTTGGCATGAAATCCAGTCCCCCAAGTGCCCACCAGGCCCTATGTAGGGCTGCCCTCATGCACCTCCTGAAACTCATCTCTTGCCTCAGTTTGGCAAGTGCCGTGGTCTATTCCTGCTGTCATCCAACAGTCTCTAAGTCCCCTCTGCAGATGCCCTTGGTGGCTTCCTCTTGCAGGAACACCATCTTTCATGGCCCTCTTTAGTTAAGTGCTCTGTGTGAAGTCATCTCCAATCTCTTTGGCTAGAGCGGCTTATACCTTGCAGGGGTCTCCTCTGTCACACTGCTGGCTTTAGGAGTGGCTCTGTGGCCTCTAGAATGACTCAGCCTACAGTTGCCTGCTTCTGTCTGTCTCTCCTTACTGGATCACAGTCCTTCTGAGCACCAAATTGATGTCGTATGCTTCTCTCTGCCCCCAGCACCCAGCCTAAAGTACAGCACCCTGGGGCCCTCCAGGAATGGGTCTTAGATAAATGAACAAGAGTCTTCAAGAGACTTAGCATCAAATGTGCCTCTGGACTAATGATGAAGTCACCACAGAGATGCATCTGCAGACACATAGTCACATCGGTGTCCTGGCTAGAAAAAGAGCCAGGCTATCACTTTTTTCTTTCTAACTTTAGAAAGACATGGAATTACTTCAGCAATGCTGTCACCCTGTACTTGTGGTCACTGGGAGTATTGCCATATGGTCCACATGGATGCCTGCAACAGAAAAACCTCAGGCTAATAGAGGTAGGCAATCAATCTACTAGCTGGATGGAGAGGGGCAGGTTGCAGAATCAGCCAGAAGGCTATAGAATAGGTCCAGACAATGGTTAGGAACCAAAGAAGGCTGGTGGCCAGCATGCACCAGATCAGGCCCCAGAAGCCTTGGTGCCAGGACTAAACCACTCTTCACTACTTCTGAACTTGGTGTCACCCATTGAGAGCAAAGCTTCAGGAGGGCTAGTCTGGGTAAAGCACTTACACCCTGCAGCCTCAGCTTTTGCAATTAGGCAGTGCAGTGTGTTGGTCAGCTTTCCTACACTGTGACAAAATATCCAAGATAAACAAGTTAAAAAGAATAAAGGTTTCTTTGGGCTCACAGTTTCAGAGGTTTAGTCCATGGTCTCTCGGTCCCATTGCTTTGTTTTGTGATGAGGCAGAATATCATGGTAGCTGGGAAGTAAAAGAGAAAGGGGGAGGGTTCTGAGCCCCAAGTAAGGTTCCCTCCAAGGGCCTTACCTCCTCTACTGAGGCTCCAGCTCTAAATGGGGCTACTACTTCCTAACAAGGCCATCTGCTAGGGACAAAGCCTTGAACATAGGAGCTCTGGGGGACATTTTTGGCCTCAACAACAGCACTGGGCCTACATACTCTGGGGACCTCCAGACTGCCAGCCCAGGGGAGGGCAAGGGTGCTGGGTCCTGAACAGCAGTGTGTGGCTCTCTTTGGCTGTCACAGTGTCTTCACATCCTGCCCAGGAGAAGGCTGGATCAGCCTCCTCTGTTCCCACATAGACATGAAAACCCTGGCAACCATTCTTGGATGTGGCCAAAGCCAGAGAATGGGGGAGCAAGCACCTTTTTCTTCTTGGGTCCACTGTCCTACAGGACTAGGGGCTTGGAGAAGTGGTGGGGGTTTCCTAAGGACAGGGAGGTGGGAGAACTCCAGGAGCTGTTGTTGGAACCGTACTGGGATGCTCTGGGGAGTGGGGGAAAGGTTAAAACTCTAGAGATGAATCTTTTGGAGACAGAAGGTGGCAGTTTCTGAGGTCTGGGTGCAGAGGACAAAGGCTGAGCTCTTTTCTGTCCCTCTGATTCCCCGTTAATGCCACCATTTTGCCTTTGTCTGCTTTATATGCAGAACAGCAAGAATGCTGTCCACCTCCAGGCCCCAAAGCTCCCATGGCGCCCCCCAGGGATGTGGGCTCCATACGCAGTCTCCAGGCCTCGGCACCCAGAACACCCACCTGCTCTTGCCGCCCGTGCAGTTCCTGGTCATGGTGGTGCACCAGCTCTGATGTCCCCTTTGCAGGCAGGGGACTCTCTGGACTCAGCTCTTCCAGAATGAATCATTCTTCTCTACTTCCTTAGCCACACTTCCTTGCTGGATTATAATGGATTTATGTGTCTGCCTCTCGGGGACTGGAAGCACCTCAAAGCCAGGCTGGATGCTATTCCTGTCTGGGCCATATCTCTCCTTCACGGATGTTGCAGGCTACAATTCCCAAGCTCTTGGATCTGCTGGCTTTTAGTGGCAGCAGGCTGGTGGGAGATGAAAGAGCTGAGGAGAAGCCAGGGTGTCTCCTCTTCACGCTGCACTCTTGTGACAGGACCTGTGTCTGCTGTGCCTCCAGCCCTGCCAGCCAAATCCACACAGTTTCATCTCCTGCAGCGGGACCCCCGCCCTCTACTTCCTCCCTCACCCTCCAGCCTCGGGATAGCAGCACCTCCTCCTGCTGCTGCGCTCTGGCCCCTCTCCCAGTCCCCTCTGAATCCTATCCCTGGCTTTTCCGTTCTGTGTGACCCGGGTTTCTTTTGAATTCCCTGTTGTAGATTCAGGGAATTTCTGTGGGTTGGCCGAAACTTGACTGATATCCCAGGTCCTAGCACAATGCTTGAAACAGAGTGGACACTTGAGCAATGCTTGGGGGAACAAAAGTGGCCGTCAAAGAGGCCCTATGAACGGAAGCATGCTGCTCGTATCTGAGGAGGTGAGGATCTCCCTGAGCACAGTGCTGCTTTCTTTGAATGAAAGGACAGCAGGCACTCTGAGCCTGGAGAAGTCTGAGCCATAAAAGAAAGGCTTAAAGGATGGAGAAGTCTAGGAGAACTCCTCCTCTTCCTCCTCCTCTGCCTCCTCCTCATGGTTTTTGAGATAGGGTCTCACTATGTAGTTCAGGCTGGCCTCAAACTTGTGGTGACCCTCCTGCCTCAGCCTCCTGAGTACTGAGATTATAGGCTTGCACTGCTATAGGCTTGAAACTTTATTTAATAAAGCTTTATTTTCAGAAACTGATGATGGGACAGATTTGACAGACTTTTGGTCTAGAAAATTTCCTAGCATGTAGTATTTAACAAGTCATTATTTTTAATGAGCACTGCCTCCTCTTGTCCTCTATTACCCCCAACGCATTCACCATTTTCCAGCTGTAACTGTCCTACTCCTCCGCCTCCACCCAGCCACCTGCTTTGCAGACTTCACTCTCAGGATGAGGATCAAGCTCCAATGAAGGCCCACATGCCCTGTGCAGGCTGGCCCTGCTCTTGCTCTGGCTTTACACTCAGTATATGTGTACCCCACCCTCCCGGTACCCCACCCTCTCTGCAGTCTCCCTGGTCTTCCTCCACTATGACAGCTTCTTTCCACTATAGGGCCTTTGCACATGCTGTTTTTCCTGCCTAAAACCCCATTCTCCCCATCGTTCATCCTTCAGATCTGTGCTCAGTCTCCTAGGACTTCCTTGGTGCCACTAAAGCCCCCCTCTGGCTGTAATTTTGTCTGTATATGTTTCTCCTGTAGAGGAACTCGAGGAGGCACAAGGTCATACTCCACCTATTTCACTGAGCTGGTACATATGAGCAAACGGATGAATGCTAAGGAAGGGGAGGTCTGGGACCAGAGAGAGTCCATCAGTTCCTGCCTCTGCCCCAGGGACCAGTCCCGACCCTGCCGTCTCACTACAGACTGGGTGAAAAGGCTGTGCTGGAAGTAACACGCCGTGGGGTGCTGAAACATCTCCGCCCAAAGTCTGGCAGCCCCTGTCAGTTTGTTGGCCTGCACACGGACAAATCCAGAAATGCTGTCATATGAGAAAGAAATTTTTAATGTTTAGCCTGGAACAGTGAAGAGTGGGGCAGAGAACAATCCAGGTCGATGACGTGGCTGAGACGTTTCTACAGTCATGAGGTCCTGGCCTTACAGGTGTACAGACAGCAGCTGGAGGACACCTTCCCGGGGGCCCTGCAGAAGGGCTGGCGTGGATGAGGATGGGATGCCTAGGTGACCCCAGGGGTCTCTTCCAACCCGAACCTCTACCTTTTTCTAAGCATTTGGAGGCATTCTGAGCTCGAGGGAGGGAGGGGTGCAGGTGAGAGCAAAGACCCCTGCCTGGAGCCACGCGATGGCCAAGCAGTCCCCATAACCAGGGGGCCCGGTCAGCGACTCTGGGAGCAGAGTGGGGGCGCTTAAAGCCAGCAGATGGCGCGGGCTCACCTAGGCCGAGCGCCTTCTCGCTTTGCCTTCCCGGGAGCGTTTGTTTCTGCGCTCAGCCGACTGGAAGCACCGAGCAGGCTGGAGACTGGCTGGGCCCCCAGCCCCCTGCGCGCGCCTTTGCGGGACGAAAGCCCCGCGGGCACCGCGCGGTCATGCACCTGGGGCCTCTTCCTCGGGCTTCATCTCTGGCCCTTTGGGGGATTCCTCGAGTTGCCACAGCAGCCGGTGCCATGACATCGGCAGAGGGCAGCTTAGCCAGCACTGAAATATTCATGCCCCGAGCACCCAGCTGGGCTCTGAGCGGCTCCCGGGGGTCTGAGGGGCTGGGCAGCTGCCAGGGGTCCCGGAGACCACCCGGGTGGGGGACTGCGCGGCGCGGCAGCGGGCCGGCGGGGGCTGGGAGAGGCGGAGGTGAGGGCGGGAGCGTCAGGAGGCGGGGTCTGGACGGCGGGGGCCGCGCGGGGCGGAGGAAGCGAGGGAAAGTTGATCGCGACTTGAGCGGCGGCGGCGGCGGCGGCTTGGAGAGCAGGGTGCGGGCTGAGCGCGCGATGCGCCGCCAAAGCCCGCGTCCGACGGCGCTGGAGCGCTGAGCCGGCGGGGTGCAGCGGCCCGAGCCCGGGCATGGAGCTCGGGGCTGCCGAGCCTCCGCACATTTGGGGCGCGCCTCATCCGAGCCAGCGGCGCACCTGAAGTTGCAAAGCCTAGAGGGCGGCCCGAGGGGACCCGGAGCGGCCGGCGCGCCGCGAATGAGCCTTCGCGCCGGCGGCGAGACACGGCGGTGGCCAGCGCCCAAGCAGGCGGCACACGGGGGCCGATCCAGCGGACAGCAGAGCCCGAGGCGCGGCGCGGCGCCGCTCCACACCCGCACACGGTACCCCGAGGCGCGCACTGGTCCTTCCCTTCCCTCCCCGCTTTCCTCTTCCTCCCCGCGCCACTCGCCTGCCGAGAGGCAAGAAAGTTGGAACTGAGGTTTGGAGACCGCAGTCGCGGAGCCACTTGTTCCCGGCGCGGCCATTGCCCTCGGCGGATGCCCAGGGCGTCCTTCCCCAGGCGCTTCTGGCTCGGCCCTGTCCCTCGCTCGTAGCCCGCGGCCGGACGCACGGCAACTTTGATGCCCGGGAACTCCAATTCCCTCCGCGGTGGCCGTTGGAGGACGTGCACCGCTCCCTGAGCGCGTACTCGGGACCGCGACCGTTCTGGGGCTTTGCTTTCCGCGTAGGAGAGAGGGTGTCACGGTCTGGGCGGTGATGGGACTCTCCGGGTAGAGAGGGCATTAGGCTTCAGTCGAGCTGGGGGTCCCTCATTTTGGACCTTGGAGATGGGGTGTGGCGCACCTCCGTCGCTGGTTGAGCAGAAGGCTCTAGAAGGATCTAAAGGCACGTACCTTTCCTTGTCCCTCTTCACCTATGCGTGCCCAAGGGAGACCCAGGGAACTCCCTCCACCTCCCCAGTCCTGTCCGGCCGCTGGAAGACGCGCCCCTCACAGCGCTGGCAACCTCGTGCGGTTCACGCTGCGCTTCCCCGGCCCGGGGCTGGAGCGCTACAGACCACTTGGGTCGTCCCCGGGGGTGGCCCCGGGTGTGCTACCCTTTTCCCCAGCAGGTCAGCCCAGGACGCCTGTGGAACCCGCCGTGTTCCAGGGTGGTGGCACGGTTAGCCGGCGAGCACTCGTTGCATTTCTCAAATAGGTGCACCGGGCCGCGGCTTTGCCTTGGTTGAGACGCCGTCGTGCCCTCAGCGCCAGCCGCCGCTGCCACCACCCGGCTGCGACCCCAGCCCTGCGGCCATCAGGTTCTCTGAGAGAAATTCGCCTTTCCTGGGTTGTAACACGCTCCACCTTTCCAGTAATACAGAAAGCAGATACCCAGCATAGGCATGGCTTGTCCCCTGGACCAGAGTTGACGCTGACCTTAGCCTTCCAGCCCCACAACATGTGCCCCTTCCCCAGTTTGGATTTTGAGATAAACTAGAGGGACACACAAGAATTGTGTGCCTGCGGCGTTCGTGTGTTGTGCACACATTGGGTGGAGTCAGACCCTTGGCTAGGGAGGAATTAGGCTGTGGAACAGGGGTGGGCTTGAAGAGCCTGTGGGGGCTAGGTACAAGGTGGTGGTGAGTCGCCACGGTTGGGGAGAGCTGGCTTGAATTAATGCTTGGTTCCCAGAGCAGGGTCGGCAACCGCGGTCAGCATGTATGGGAATGGGGATGCCAGGTGTCACTCGATGGAGAAGGGGCTGGGAAGGGGCCCTTGGCCGGGGAATGTCTGCACTTTGTGTTGGTTCCCCAGGGCTGGGGAGGGTAGGAAGCATGGCAGAGAGCGAGAGTACACTGTGGGCTGAAAGGTGGCACTAGAGAAGGGAGTGGTGTAGCCAGACAGCACCAGCACCCTGGCCTTTTCAGGGCCCACCCACATGTCCAGTGGGACCTTCCTGAGCCCCAAAAGGCTGGATTGGAAGGTTATGGTAGCACATGGTCCTGGTTGCAACCCTCAAGTCTCTCACCCCAAAAGCCACCTTACCTGTCCTTTCACCATTTGGGGTTCATTTCTTTGAGCTCACTGCTTTAAAGGGTACCTTTTCTGAAGTTCTGCTTTAAAATTCATCCTTTTCTGGAGGCATGGTCTAGTGGAACCCGGCTGCTCTGAGGATGGCCTGTGGATCTGCATCTTCTGCATCAGTAGCCTGTAGCCTGTTAGGAATGTAGACTCCTAGGCCCCACCTAGGTGACCCCACGCCCACTCCAAGTCAGGGTCTGTATCCAACAAGTGCCCTCTGAAGCTCAGGCTGTGATGCACAGAACATTCTAGGTGAGCTTTACACACATCGTCTTGGTGCAGTAGTAACAGGGTAGGTGGTGGATATGAGTACAAGGATGAGAACGGATGAGACTTCTTTTCCTGGACACTTGTGCTAGGGTTGGTTTTGCTGTCCACTGCCTGCCCCTTGAGGCTGTGCCCTGCTGATGCTACAAGGAGGTCTAAGCTTGGGGAGCCATATTGAGGATTCAGGGGCCAGCTTAGCTTCCTGTGCAGTTGAAACATCGCTGTGTGTGCAAGGACCCGAGGAAGTGGGAGGAGAGGTGCTGGCTGTGCCTCTAGGACTCCTGGGGCCTGGTGATGCTGTCCTCCATGGGAAGGAATTGAGCACCTCTCCTCCACCTCCTCTGTGCTTTCAGATGGGTGAAATGGTCCCCTGAAAACACCTCTCAGTACCCATGGGAATTATGCAGAGGTGCGCTGCTTAACAGCCAATTTGGGGAAGCTCATGGCGAGGGACACTAATAGGGGTTCCAGTATACCCAGCCTGGACTGGATTACCTCTTCTGCCCTGAGATACTAGGAAACCCCTAACCCTAAGCCATAAGGAGGATGCCAAGCAATGCAGGCCACTTCCTGGTCCTCTAGAGAAATAATGATGACTCTGAAACCATCAAGGCCTCTCTGAGATTTGGACTCGAGGCCTGGTGGGCTGATGAGACAGTGAAAATGTTATCACCCAGTACAGGTACCTAGCTCTGACAGAAATATAGTGTCTTTCCTAAGGGAGCCTCTTTTAGGAATTGGGCAGCTCTGCCAGCACATGTGGATTGGCCTGGGCATAGGCATTACAGAGCACAGCGCTAAGACATAAGTCTTCTTCCATAGGTCTGAAAATGGAGGTTCAAAAATACTGAGATTAATAAAGTCTGACAGTTTTCTTGAACCTCAGGTTTTAAAAAGGATTCAGTGTTCTATTGTGTCAAGATGATTTTGAAAATTAGCTTAATTGCCTTTGAATTCATTGTTTCTTATTCAGTAACCTTAACATTTTATTTTTGCTTTATTTTATTTTGAGGACGCCTCCTTCCTTGTTCTGTGGTTTGAACTCAGGGCCTTGTGCATGCTAGGCAAGCACAGAATACCCTGGAGCTACATCTCCAGCCCCATATTCTGAGCCTTGATTTGGGGTCCTCGTGGCACTGGGGGAGTAGGTGATCTGGATGGATCTGGATGGTGATTTTGGGATGGGAAGATCCTGGCTGGATCTGGATGGTGATTTTGGGATGGGAAGACATACTTTACCTCCACTGGAAAGGAACTGAATTGGGAAGGATCCCTCCGCAGGAAATGTAGTCCTAGTGACCCTGCATGGAGTCCCCACCTCCAGGAAGCCTTCCTGAGCTGGTGGCACCTCCCTTTTTACTGTCGTCTTACATGCTTTCATTTCCCTGCATTGTCTGGCTTCTTTCTACACGGTGATTTCCTCCAGGGCTCCCCTCCCCATCTTTTTTCTCCTTGTTCCTCCACACTGCTGCTGTTTGGTATCGGTGCTCAGTGACTCTGCCCTGGCCAACTGGGTTTCTGCCAGGCGATCAAGCTGCCACCTCCTCCAGCCCTGACACGAAGCATTTGCCGTGCCTGCGGCAATTTCAGCAGTTTGTGTTGGTTACTGTGAAGGCAGTGGACTTGGGTCCCGGGGAACCAATCTTGGAGTTGAGATCACAAGCTCAGGTGCTGGAGATGTGGACAAGGGTAAAGCAAGGCCCAGAATGAGACAACAGGGAAAGGTGGGGACTGTGACTGCAGAGCACTGGCCTCATAGAAAACGAATCCTGTAGGCAACACCATTAATGTGAGAGACATCAGAATCAACATTACCCCTGGGAGTGTTGGAACTGGGGCATGAGGGGTGCTTCTGGGGTGCTGGAAATTCCTGTAACTTGATCTAGATGTCTACAGTGGTGAATGATCATTTTTGCGAAGGAAGTAATTCAGAAAACATTAGAACAGTTATGGGCTCTGTTTGTTTGGATTCAATATGCAAATAGTTTTATAGAGCCCCTGTTGGGCAGAAAATACATATTCTTACCAACCCTATTGTCAGTGAGAAACTGGCCGTGTATTTAAGAAGTGGCTGCATGGAGATCACTTTCTAGTCTTCACTGTGAAATGTGATCAGGCCCTGCCACAGGGAGCTGGGAAGGCTGCCAGAGCTGGATCCCCGGATGTGGGGCTTGGGGCTGTGCTCCTGTGGCTCCTTCTGGCTAAGATAGGGAAAGGCTCAGTGCACTGCCAGGGCGAGCGGGGAGCTCACATGTGCTCCTCAGCTGGGGCCTGCAGGCAGTGTTGCTGAGGGGGACGCACAGCTCCGCTTCAGCATTCGTGATTTTACCTTTTTTTCACATTGCTAGGGATCGAACCCAGGGAGTGCTGAGCTACTTTAAACTTTTTATTTTGAGACAGAGTCTTGCTGAGTTTCTCAGGCTGACCTTGAGCTTGTGATCCTCTTGCCTCAGCCTCTTTCTTCAGCAGCTGCAATTACAAGCGTGCATCACCACATCGGGCATATTTTCTACATATTCTAAAACCACACGCAGTGTCAGGTATTACTATGGTCATAACTCCTTTTGTGATTTTTTTTTTTAAATAAGGCAGCTTGGAAGCAGACAGTCTGGCATTGGACACCAGTTCTCACACCCTTGAGCTCTGAGGCCTTAGGTCTGGAACACGACTTTGCTCGACTTTTAGTTTTCTCATCTGTAGCATGGGAGTAATTTTCAGGTGCCCCATAGGCTTCCTGTAAGCATTAAGGTAAAAACTCTGGGGCTGGGGATTTAGCTCAGCGGCATAAGCACCTGCCTTGCAAGTCAGGCAGTTGTGAGTTCGATCCCAGTACCGATAAAAAAACAAAAAAACAAAAAAATCTAACTCTATAGGAAACCTAGCACATGCTACATGTACAAAATACAAAAGCTTTTTAATATCCTTTTTGACTTAGTTGTACATGAGACACATTGTATTCTAGCAGAGAGGTGAATTTTCCTGTTTTCAAAACCTGATGATCTATAACAGTGATAATGCACCTCTTAGAGATTTCAGGGATAATAAACAGC